TTTCAATGGGAAAAGGTATTTCTACTTACAACCATTTCTAATTATGACTGGAGTTTCGGAACCAATTAAGTTTGTAAGTCGAGGCACCACTGTACTTTAATTTTGACAATGAAAAAAATTAAATTGCTCAACACTTTATATACCTTGACTCAATCATTAATCCAAATTGAGACTGCTGCAAAGAAATCAGAAGGCTGAGACTAGGAAGGGCAGCAGCGAAGGAATTAGAAAAAATTATAAAGTGTAAGGATTTGTCACTAGAAATCAAAATCAAGATCATCCACACTATTGCATTTTTTTAATTATCAGGTATGGATGTGAAAGCTGGACAGTAAAGAAAAACAGACAGGAAAAAATGATTCATTTAAAATATGGTGCTATGGGAGAGCTTTGGACTGCCATAAACACGAACAAGGGGTTCCTAGAGCAAATCAAGCCTGAACTATTTCTGAAGGCAAAAATGATAAAACTGAAGGTATTATATTTTGGGCACTCCAATGAGGATCCAAGATTTGTTGAAAAAGACAATAATGCTGAGAAAAGTTGAAGGCAGTAAGAAAAAAGGAAGATCATACATGAGATGGATTGATTCGTAAAATAAGCCACAGCCTTGAATCTGTGGGAGCTCAGCAGGGCTGTTGAGGTCAGGACATTATGGAGCTCACTCATTCAAAAGATCATCATAGGTTTGAGGTGACTTGATGGCACATAAGAACAGCTGCAAAGGACTGTATAACTGTGACTTTTATCATTAGTGTATTGCCTTGCTAACTGGGGTGCATTTTGTACTATATGCCAGTGGCTCTTAATAAGGTTATCAATCTGCCTTTCTGTTCTTTATTTTTTAAAGAAAGGAAGAGTTTGATATGTATGTTTTTAAACACATTTCCATATTTCAGTTTTGAGACTGATGATGGACCTCAACACTTCAGACACTGCTGAACCACAACTCCTATAATCCTTTATCACTGGTCATTGTAGCTGGTACTGATGAGAGCTTGAGACCTTCTCCACTCATGGTTTAGCCTGGGGTTTCGACCTTGTTACAGCCACTACTGTAACAAAAGTAGCCTGGGGTTTCGACCTTGTTACAGCCATTACTGTAACAAAGCTTGTTTTTGTTAAGTGTCATCAAGTCATCTCCCACATCAAGTCATCTCAAACCTACGAGTGAGATCTCCAGAATCAATGTCCTGTCCTCAATACCATCCTCAGCTCATGTAAACTCAAGTTGATGTTTTTCTTTAGGGAGTCAATTAGACATGGTGATGAATAATAATAAAAAAGGGATCACGATATTTGTAAAAAATTGCTGATTGGTTAAATATTTGCCCCTTCATATTCATCAGCTCCAGAGATTTCAATGAATACAAAGGAATGAATATTTCCCCATTTTTATTCGTCCCCCATCTTATGGCCTTCCCATTCTATGGGCCCACCGATCAGCTGGCCAATAGGCAGGCAGCCAGCCCTTCAGCCACCCACCCCACAACTTATCCGCTACCCCCTTCCCCTCCCTACCTTAGCTATTGTCTCCATCCACCACTGCCTGGCACTGCTGCATCCACTGGAGTGGCCTCCACAGCCACGGGCTGCCATAAGGGACACTGGCTGCCCTTTACAAAAATGGTGGCTGAGGTTTCTTTTAGGGCAGGGTAGCTGCAGTTGCCATCTTTGCAAAGGGCAGCCTAGATTCCCTTAAGGAAGGCCACAGTGGCAAGAGACCATTGCAGCAAGTGGTGCTGGATGGTGACTGTGGAGGCCGCCGTTACAGGCCTCAGGGGATGGTGGTGGCAGCAGTAGCACAGATTGTAGTAGCCAAGGTAGAGAGATGACAGGGGTAGTGGGAAGGTGGCAGGCTGTGGGGGTGGAGGGGTCAGCTTTCCCCCGAACGAGTTTAATCAGTTAATGGGACGAGATTTGTGCTTCATGAACTTTGATGGATCACGAAGCAAGACGACTTGCCAAATGGCAATTTGTCCCCATCTCTAGGAACAATTCATCTTTATATTTGGTATTACACTTTTCCTGCTGCATTCAAACTTTCCCAGAATTACTGTATTTTCCAATGAATCTCTCCTTCACATGATGCACCACAGGGCCGCATCAGTTTCATAAAGCTAGGAAGACATACTGTATTATGGACTTCTCTTGTGAACAGACACCTATAACACTGAGCTTTGCATAGCAGTGCTAAGACTGTACCTCTTAAATGTCATGTTTTGCTAATCCTTAAGTTTGAATTTCTCTTTTATACCTATGCATTTTACTTTCTTAAAAAAATTTACACATCACTCCCTATACTAGAATCTCAGGGTGAAAGAACAATAAAATCAATAACAATAAAACAAACAGGAAGATAAAGCGACAATTTTATTTGATATATATGAAGAAGTGGACCTGTCCATTAAAGCTCACATTAAAATATAAGTTTTTAAAGTGCTACAGATTTTAATCTTTTTAAATTTTTATTTTTTTCCTTTCAATTTTGCCTGATAGGCTTGCACAGGCTAACAGGGCTACCAGTTCTAAATTCAATGTTATGACACTTTAGATTAGAACAAGGTGTTTTGGACCCAGCTTGCTTGGGTACAACAATCTACATTTATTCAAATATAGTCATGTCTTCTTCTTCTGATTGCTGCACAGTGGTGGAGGGCGGGGTTTCACTTAACCCGGGCTTATTTTTTGGGGTAGGGCTTTGTGGTGTTCGCCCTCGTGCCCCTGCCTGTCCCTCCAAACACAGAGCACAAGAAGGCAAACTATTACTTCTTTTAACCCCGCTGCCACCAGTTGATCACTAAAACAACGTTAATTATGGAAGGATGAAGATTCAGGTCCAAACTTCAATGTCTTTTTAATAAAACACTTTTATTGATTACAGATGTTATTATTATTAATCATAGGTAACTTCTCTTATCATGAGTCTCTACCTTCTATTTGTCATTATAGTTCTTAATCACTTTTCACTCTAATCGCCTCAGATCTCCCAAACACCACATACAGTACAGCATCTTCTTCTCCACTCTCCCTCTCTGACTGACTCTTACTCTCTCTGATTCTGCCTCTTTATTACATTTCTCTCGGCTCCGCCTCTTAGCAACGTTAGCCTAACATGAATATTCATAACTACTTAACATAATAAGGGTGAACACTACAGGTTTATATTAGGAGCATCCTGGAAAATCATACTAGGGCTTATTTTCAGGTTACATCTTAATTTTGGAGAAACAGGATAAGCAGCACACTTTTCTTTTCTTTTTGTAAACCCACGATACAGCAAAATATGGCAAGTTCTTAAAGAAATGGGAGTGCCTGACTACCTTATCTACCTCCTGAGAAATCTATATGTGGGACAGGGAGCAACAGTTAGAACTGTATATGAAGAACTGATTGGTTCAAAATTGGGAAAGGAGTACGACAAGGCTGTATATTGTCTCCCTGCTTATTTAATTTATATGCAGAATACATCATGAAAAAGGCAGCACTGGATGAATCCCAAACCAGAATTAAGATTGCCAGAAGAAATATCAACAACCTCCGATATGCAGATGATACCACTTTGATGGCAGAAAGTGAGGAGGAATTAAAGAACCTCTTAATGAGGGTGAAAGAGGAGAGTGCAAAGTATGGTCTGAAGCTCAACATCAAAAAACTAAGATCATGGCCACTAGCCCCATCACTTTCTGGCAAATAGAAGGGGAAAATATGGAGGCAGTGAAAGATTTTACTTTCTTGGGCTCCATGATCACTGCAGATGGTGACAGCAGCCACAGAATTAAAAGACGTCTGCTTCTTGGGAGGAAAGCGATGACAAACACCGGCAACATCTTAAAAAGCATAGACATCACCTTGTCAACAAAAGTCCGCATAGTCAAAGCTATGGTTTTTCCAGTAGCGATGTATGGAAATGAGAGCTGGACCACAAAGAAGGCTGACCGCCGAAGAATGGATGCTTTTGAATTGTGGTGCTGGAGGAGGCTCTTGAGAGTCCCCTGGACTGTAAGAACAAACCTATCCATTTTGAAGGAAATCAACCCTGAGTGCTCACTGGAAGGACAGATCCTGAAGCTGAGGCTCCAATACTTTGGCCATCTCATGAGAAGAGAAGACTCCTTGGAAAAGACCCTGATGTTGGGAAAGTGTGAGAGCAAGAGGAGAAGGGGACGACAGAGGACGAGATGGCTGGACAGTGCCATCAAAGCTACCAATATGAATTTGACCCAACTCCAGGAGGTAGTGGAAGACAGGAGGGCATGGCATGCTTTGGTCCATGGGGTCGCAAAGAGTCGGACATGACTTAACAACAATACCCAATCAAAGTATTCTCTAGGACCCAAAACTGAGATGAAAAGCCAGCTTTCAAGTGGGCATCAAATTGATGCGAAGATGCACATGAATCGGGTCTGCAAAGGAGCAGCATTCTGCTGCCAAGTCACCCCACCACTGGGAAGGACCAGGAGGGAGCCTTCCCAGGAAATTTCAGATCTCTAAAGCGTCTGTATTTCCCCCGGGGAAATGCAGCCCCATGGGAACCCGGAGCTTTAACTCTCGTCACTTGGGAATTGATTGACAAGGTTTCCGCCTGCCCGGGGTGAGCCCCAGAGCCCAGAACAAAACATGTTACATGCAAAACACGTATGCCAAAGACACGTCTCAGTTAGGACTGCAGCGTGCCCGAGGGCTATCCCCCGCCGGCCTCCAGGAATGTGGAGCGTCAAATGGAAGAAAACAGAGCAAAATGGCGCGGAGCCGGCAGTTGGCTTGCTAGAGAGCGCCCTGTCCGGGTTATCATACGATCGAAGGTGAAACCACAGCCCGCGGCACAGTGGCTTCCTTTTTAGAGGCCCCGCGGATTCGTCGAAAGCCACAGCGATCTTGTCTTTCTCTCCTTCTTCCCGAGGGCGGGCTTATCTTAAGTTTTATCGCCGACGTTTGACCGCAAGCGCCTGCCTCTCCCTCCTCCTCCTCCTGTCCCCCCCCCGCCCGCGGTGCGGCGACGCCCTGAGGCCTCGCTCCTTTTCCCTGCCCTGGTCTTGGCCAGGCGAGCACCAGGGCGAAGGTTTCCTTGGCGCCGCGCCGGGGCTTGTGACGCCGCCTCACGGGCCTTTTTGACACCCAGGTGAGCGAGGCATTCCTAGAACGCGCCCGCCGGGCCATGCCCTTCGCCGGACGCGGCCACTGAGGAGCAGGCAGTGAGGGAAACGGGGAGGGCCCTTGGCGCCCTTATTAATGCGGCGCCCGCCTGCTTACGCTGCCTTTCGAAGAGCTCGGCGAGCCGGTCGTTGGTTCTGGCAGTCGGCTGCCCGCTGCCTTCCTTTGGGCAGCGATGGAGTTGTGCAGCTCCTTCTGCAGCTGGAGCGCCGATTTCTGGCGGGGCGTCTCCGGCCCGGCAGAAGAGCGGCTGCTCCACCTGATGAGCTACGGGATGCTGGGCTGCATGCTGGTGGCGGTGGTGCCGATCTATTTCTTCGGGATCCCTTACGGCCGCTACACCTCGCGCTCCTTCGGCTTCCCCATTCCCGCCACTTTAGCCTGGACGGTGCAAGAATCGCCTGCTTCCCTCGTCCCTCTCCTGCTCATCCTCTGCAGCGACAGTGTCCGCCTCACCTTCTGGACGAACCGGATCCTCCTGGGACTCTTCCTCATCCACTACGCGTACAGGTGCGCTGGGATCGGGGGTGGGGTGGGGGGAGAGACAGGCAGGGACCCAGGAAACACCTTCCTCTCCGCTGCAGAAAAAAACCCGGTTTTCATAGATTGGGATGGGCAGGTACCAAAGAGCCTTCCCTTCAACTGTGAAACGGCGAAGGAAATTTTCTTACCGTGGATCCTGCCCATCCCTTCCCAGGTCGAAAAGTAGTGAGCCGGCTTTCGAGTTTTAAGGATTGTTTTTGCACTTTAGGGCTAGGCGGAAGAAAACAGAGGAAAGAGAGGAATTTATGAAACCGTTGTTTCCGATAAAGTGCCAGCCCTGTCACTAGGACTGTAATTCGACCCAAGAAATTTAGTTTTTTTCACCTATAATTGAATACTGTAAACGTATCATCCATACCTAGTGGCAGCAGCGCTTTTTTCTCTTTCCTCTGTTTAACAGCAGTCCTCCTGATACAGAGTTATGTGAAGCTCTGGAACTGCCTTCCTACTTCCTAACTTAATTGGAAAACGAATTGTGTTGTTTGGATATCGTCTAACAGGCCACCAGTGGTGGCTCACATTGAGGTGCTTTGTCTATATTGAACACAATAGGAGATACTGTTCGGGAACAAAACTGGACAGTGAACATGCCAGAGAAGGAGTTGCTTCTTCAGAAAAGTTGTATGGAATTACAGTAGCTGAGAGACGAATAGCCTTTAAGCACAGTAAGTTCTATTGAACTCAGCGGCACTTGTTTCAGAGTACTACAATGTATATACGTATGCATAGCATGGAGGCTTTATGTAGAAAGCACAATTAGATCAGCATTTTTCATCCTTACAAGAGAAGCTGCAATTACATATTTTGCTTCAGAGCCAAAGGCTGGGAGTTCATTTTGCTACTGTTCCTCTTTGGAGAACAGGCAGACTGTGTAGTCTTGGGCAAGCTGCATAGTTCCCAGAAAAAGAGAATGGTAAACCCCTTTGGATTATTTATACCTAGAGAAACCTGAAAAGCGTCCCCATAAATCAGAGTTGACTTCACACTAGGGCAGTTAGATTAACCTGATAAGCTACGAGAGGGTGCTGATAAGTATTGAGCCTTGCCCAGAAAAAATTGAGCTAGGAAGCTATAAATTGCAGTGTGTATTGGCCAATTTGTCTATATTCAACAGTGCAAATATCAACAGCCTATGATTTTAACTTAACTTTAATTTTCCGGTCCAAAGTGAACATGGCGGCACCTCTAGAAAAGTTCAGTGTGGAAGAGCATAGGATCATAATCAAGTTCCTGTTTCTCCAAGGGAAAGGTGGAAAGCAGATCCATGATGAAATGTCACAAACTATGGGTGACAGTGGCCCTTCATATACAACAGTTAAATGTTGGGTTGTCAATTTTTAAACTGGCCATTTCGGTGTTGAAAGTGAGAAACCCAGTGGAAGACCTGTTTCTGTCTCTGTCCCTGCAAATGTGAAAGCCATCCATGACATGATCATGGAGGACCGCCGAATATCAGCCAAAAGTATAGCTATATATCTGAGAATATCACGTGAGAGAGTTTGTGACATTATCTACAAGGACTTGGAAATGAGAAAGCTGGCAGCAAAATAGATCACAAAACTTTTGGAATAAATGGAATAAATAAATTTTGACAAACGAACAAAAGAGGAAACGAGTGGAGTCATTGGTGGCTGTTTTGGAACAATTTGCAAGAAATGAGTCAGATTTCCTGGGCAAACTGGTAACTGGTGATGAGACATGGATCTACTGTTATGATCCTGAGACAAAGGAACAGTCTAAGGAATGGAGGCACCGTGGTTCCCCCAGGCCAAAGAAGTTCCAAGTGCAAAGGTTGGTGCAGAAGCAAATGGCAAGAGTTTTTTGGGATAAGAAGGGAGTTCTGCTGGTGGACTACCTCCAACAAGGTTCAATAATCAATGCAAAATATTACTGTGCTTTATTGACGAAGTTGAGGCAAAACATCAAGGAAAAACATTGAGGAAAGCTCTCCAAAGGTGCCACCCTGTTGCATGACAATGCCTCGTCACACACTACAGGTGAAGCAATGCCAAAACTGACATCCTTAGGCTTTCAAGTGATGTCCCATCCACCCTATTCTCCAGACCTGGCTCCTTCTGACTATTGTCTGTTCCCCAAACTCAAAAACACACTTAAAGGGACAACAATTTGGGATTGTTCTGGAGGCAACTAATGCTGCAAATGAGTGGTAACACCAGCAGTCGGAAGAATTTTATTTGCAGGGACTTAAGAAGCTGCAGGACAGATGTTGCAAGTGCACTGACTTCCTGGGGGAATATGTAGAATAGTGTGGCAGTTACAGCTTCCTAGCTCATTTTTTTTCTGGAAAAGGTTCAATACTTATCAGCACCCCCTCGTACACTAATCATATGTACTAAGTATGGCAAAGGTGATAGATAAGGCTCTTTGAGCAACAGGTGCGAACACTGTTCAAGAAGGCAGGCAATACTGAACTGATCCTTGTGACATCCTCCATTAGGACATCTTCTGATTACTTTCTGCTGATGGATTGCTCTCCAGCTTTTTCTAGGAAAGAACAATAATCTTTGGTTTGCTGTATGTGCTGATATGGAAAACTGTGCATCATATTGCCTTGTTGAGCATTACCGTGTCTTTGAAGGACCTTTTAATCACCACTATCACAGTTTGCCACATATGTATGAGTTTCTCCTCCCTCTTTATAGTGGCTGGAATCCTGTTGGGGATATACATATGCATAAGTGAAATTGCCCAAGTCATGGCGGGGAATTGCCACTGAAGAATGAGTTTCTACTCATACATATGTTTAGTCACGTGTTGGGAATGCAACCAGAACCTCAATAATTAGTGGCAATTCACTGCTGTGATTTACTTGATTTCATTTAGTGTAAATTGATGGTACAGTTCTGGCCAATGTTAGTGTGTCTTTCTGTGACATTTTAACGAGGGGAAAAGTTAAAAGGAGGGGCAAAGAATATCATAATCCTCTTGTACTGATCTGAGTGAATTTTTTAAATACTGTTACTCACAACATAGTGTGATGCATATGTAATGAGGTTTATGCCCGTACACCATAACAGCAGGTTTTTCTAGGTAGGTATGTGTGGTGTCCACCCTTGATTATATGCATTATTCATATGTTAATGTGGTTGTGAGGCGGGGCCAAAGGGGCTGCTGAAGAGGTGGAGCCTGGGAGAAGGAGTTCTGTTAGAGTCAGTCTGAGTCAGGGAGAGCTAGAGAGGAGAATAGCTTGGGGTTTTGAGGCAGAGAGTGTTTAAGGAGTGATTAGGCATTGATTAATCAGAGTGTGACCCGTGTTAATTAATATAGAAGAGATTAAAGAAAAATATTGAAGCTTTGTGGAACTTTAAGAATGTGCTTAAGAATTATTCCTGAAACCAAGTGTAATCAATAAACCTGTTTCTGTTAAAAAGTCAGTACTGGATGGACCTTAGTCTTTCATAAGAAAATTAAGTTGATAAAGAGATCAACTGGAGGCAGCGTGTCATAGGGCGTGTTGAGATACCCTTGTGAGCTCTGTGTTTGGTGGAACAGGCAGGGGCCACGGGGTAAACACCACAGTATGTTACTAGCGTGGCTCCTTTAGTGTCATTGCCTGGTGGTCTCCTTAGTCCTCAGTCCCTTGTTCTTCAGGGGACGCCACCAGCTTCCCAAACGAGGCTTGTTTTTCTTTTTCTCTATCTCCCCCCTCCCGATTGTGTTAGAAAACTTTAAGATCAAGATCAGCACACAAAGCACACAAAAAATACTCAGTAGGTGGCCAAGTAGTAAGGATTCTGGATTTAGGACCCATGTTTGCCCTCTGTATTCCAGAATCATTCCAAGGCAAGGAAGATTTTTACACATTTTATTAAGGAAAGGATAAAGCAAAAAGAATAATGTAAAAATGCAAAATCATGGAAAAACAACAGACACGAAATAATCAGGTTTAGGCATGAAAATGTCACACACTGAGAAAAACAGAGTTTGAAGCTATCCTACACTGGATACCTTACTGCTGAATGTTACTACTCTGGATTAAAGCCCTGCAGTGGGGAGTGAGCGAAGCTGGTCTGCTATCTCTAAGACCCTAATATGCTTCCATCACTTTATTCTGACTGAGACAGATAATCAATCATTGTCCTGGATGGGCTTCCCCCCCCACTTTGTTTACCCTTCCTCACCTTCCTCTGCTCTTTGCCCAGATCAAAGACTTTATAATTATTTGCCCATAACAAACATCTTACAAACATACAGTATGTCAAACACCCCAGTTCCTGTTTCTCATATCCTCGTTTCTCAACAAGGTGTATTGCTCAAAATTGCTCTAAGGCTTCAAACTATAATCCTAAAAAATATTTATGTGAAAATACGTCATGGGAAACGTATAAGGAATTAACCTCTGAATAATCACAGTATTAAGCTGAGGATGAAAACAGAGATGAATGAAGTAAATTGAAAATGGAGCTTCTCTGTTCTCTCTTATTTAAACACAAAGGCAAATGTGCATTCTGATCTATGTAGGCACCTGTGAGCATTAATGTGGCATAGTCATGTTGTTTCAATATACAATCCTCGTGCATATAAAAAGATGCTTCCTGGAACTAATAATGTGAAACCTGATATCCATGATCCATTTGATGAGAACTTCAGTTGTGCTAAAATGCAAACTGATCTGATTAAAATTGCTATAGAACTGGTTAAAATGTGTGTGTGTTTTTACTCATTTTGAGCAATCATATATGTCGAATGGTGGTGACAATTATTTATTCAGGCATCTCAAGGAGGGCATTTCATTACCGGTTTGGTGAAGTTCTGAGCAGTGGTTCAAAGGTTATTAAGAAAATAGTTATTGAACCCGTTATTAAAAGTTACTACATTTTTAATTATTGCTGACAAGTATATTGTGCCTGCTCAGTTTAATTCTGAATCAAGAACACTGTTGGCACTCCAGCTGGGTGAATTTGATTTAAATCAGATTCACAATGTAAATCATGATTTAAATTTTT